TAAAAGATAAGCAATTGAATATGTATCAGAAAGTTGAGAGTAACCTCATTGGCTCACATGACGATGATGTTGAATATATCACAAGTACTTTTATTGATTTTATATACTATACCAATTTCATTGTCTTCTCCACTACTTGATAGTCAAGCAAATAACACACTCCATGAGTAGCCTAATACCTTAAATCATATGTCTGTGGTCCACCCTTGCCTTTTCTCTGAAACTTTTCCTCCTTCACTAGTTATCATTCAGAAGAGATTCAATAAAGTACACTATTAGCCGAAAAATATAATATATGTATAATATATAATATAATATTATACATTATAATATATATATATGTATGTATGTATAATATATATAATATATGTATGTATATGTTTATGTATATCTTCTCTACTATATCCAGATAAACCTGACTCTTTGGCGTCCCAGTATCCCAAATTCTAGAAAGTTTATGAATCTGATACCTAGAGGAGCACCCAGACGTGACACCCATGCTAGAGTCCTTGTAATTAGTTCAGTGTCTTGCAGTCACTAGAAATGACAGATTCCTATGGTGAATAGAAGCAAAAGTTGAGTTAATGGCATCCCTTAATTTTGTCCTTCCCATGCAGTGAGTACTTAAATAAACTGTTGTTAGCAATATCATAGCCTGCCAGTTGCATTGTATTTTTATGCTCTAGATTTAGTGATGCAGCCATGTTTATCTTTCTATTCTCAGTTCAAAGAGGAAACTATAAGGTAGAGAAATGAAAACATCAACAGGTCTAAGTCCTGCATTTTTCTTCGCCGCCCCCCCCCCACCACACAAAACAAATAAAACCCCCCAAGCCGTGAAAAGGACAAACAAAACTAGGCATAAAAAGTTTGTTGAACTGGGCAAGATGGCATTTTGCCTTATAATAGACCAATTCGTTTGTTTTACTAACATGCAGCAGAACATGTTTTCCTTTTTGACTTGTAACCTTTTCTAGCTGATGGATACTAGTGCTGCTGTTCCACATAAGAGATATATTTGTTTAAGTCAATTAAACCATACTTTAACTTTTTGAATTTGCTTTATGAAATTCTTTGAAATCTTACACAGGTAGGTCATCTTGGAGAATCTTATCAGGAGTGGGTTCACCAGCCTATAGTTAGCAAGGAAGGTCCCCGATTTTTTGGAAGTGACTTTTGGGAGGTATACTCTCTGGTGAATTTGATAATATGATTATTCATTTATATTGACACTTGAATAATTATTATATGTATGTTATCAAGTCATGCTTCACAGAGCTGATGTTGATTTCATTTTTACTCGAAATAGTTTTTAACCCGCACAGAATGGTGGGTAATCCCCATTGTTTGGCTCCCAGTTGTATGTTGGTTTGTTTCAAAGTCGATTGTGATGGGTCATACACTTCCTCAAATAGCTCTGACGGTGGTAACTGGAATCGGTGTATGGACTTTGCTAGAATACACTCTACATCGTTTCCTTTTCCACATCAAGACGAAAAGTTATTGGTTAGTCATTGCTATGTGTGTAGGCATGTTAATTGTTTGTCGTCTTTCTTGTCGGTGTTATTTGTATTTGTGTTTTTTTTCTTCTCTATGTAATGAAATATGTAAAAACTTGTTGTAGGGGAAATACCATACATTATCTTCTTCATGGTTGCCATCATAAGCACCCCATGGATGGTCTGCGCCTTGTCTTCCCTCCTGCTGCAACTGCTGTGCTGTGCTTACCTGTATGTTTCCTTCTGCAGCGTTTCGTTTTTTATTCATACTGTATAAAGCCTGTATTTTCTTTCTTCACTCCCTTCCCGTTACTAATAACTCGTGCTATGCTTTACAATATTCATAGTAAGGCTATTTGGTAGTTACTGGGATCCTCGCATGTCTTTCAGACAAATGTTCCTGCCAGTAATTGACCAAGTCAGGTCATGTAATCATGCAATTTTTGACACATTTACTAAAAGTGCATAAAAGATACATGTGACTGAAAAGGATTCCAGGTCAGGGATATGAAATTTTCATAGGAATCTCAACTGTGAGACTTGTTTTTGACTGTGACATACTGCTAGCAGCTGATTTCTGTACTATTCCTAAGTGAGTAGCCATTGCATCAAAGTTCTTCCCTTGCTAGCATTTAGGTTGAGGATGACATCGGCTGGTGGCCACCAGATTCATGCCCCATGGGAGAGGGAGGGAGAGGGCAAGATGTTATCTGCTCCATAATTCTAGAAATACAATTTAGTAGCTACTGGGTTAGCAATGACATCTAAGAGGCACTGGACATGAATATTTGTTGTCTTCGAGAGTAAGATGCATGGAGGGAGAAAAATTTGCTTGTGACATTCCATTGAATATGTTGAAAATGTAGTTGCTTAGACTGGTACTGACCAGTACATAGTGAACTTTCACCTACTGAAACTGTCTAAACAACAAGTTCGAGTCTGGTTTCAGCGTCTGATTTTCTGCCATTTTGGATGGTGGTTGTCTTAAACTGCTCCAATTTACTCTTTCAGCTCTCACTGGAGGTTTGTTGAGCTTTAGTTGATATTTTGTCTGTATGGAGTGAATATTTTGACTGAATTTATCCGAGATAACTGGAGAATACGGTACATCATGTTCTAATGAGTACAGATAACAGAAAAATGTTTGAAAAGAAATGCAAATCCATTTTATGCTTGCCTTGGCTACACGTGTCAGATAAGCAGTCTTAAACTCGGGCCTTTCTTCCAAGTCTGCCCCTTTTAGTTAATTCTTAGGAGTATATGCACAGCACATTCTTCTTCTTCTGATACTAATCTTCTTGTATTGCAGTTCTACAACTTTTTAAACTCATTTCTACTCCTTCTACTGCTCCTGCTTTGTTTGGAGGTGGTTTACTGGGTTATGTGATGTATGATGTAACCCATTATTACTTGCACCATGGGCAGCCTACAAGTGAAGTGCCAAAAAACCTCAAGGTAAAGAGATACAAATCCATCAGAACAACTTGAGTCTCATTACATTTCTCATTTACATGTGTGTAAAAAACAATCTACATACTAAAAATTATGTACAAACTCGGATCGTAGATACATGCTATCATTTTAGTAGAAACAATTTGCATAGACTTGCATTAGCCCCATATCTAGAATGATCTGTCATGAACAAATCAAATTTTCCGTTGCCCGTATGAATTCTTGATTCAGTTGGGGCCGTTTTGTCACCTGAACCTGGAAGAAGGTAGGAATTTCTCCACTGCACAAGTGGTTTGATCTGCATATCTTTCTGATCATCTCTCTTTTGCAGAAATATCATTTGAATCATCACTTTCGTATCCAAAATAAAGGCTTTGGTATCACTTCCTCATTATGGGATAAGGTCTTTGGAACACTACCAACCTCAATGCCAGCTGAGAAGAGCAGATAGTTTGATGTGTAATAACTTAGTATTCGGCCGCGATCATTCGAAGCACATAGCAGATTTTAAGGTCTATTTCGTTCTCCAAATATTCTTTCTTATGCTATTTTTCTTTCTAAGAAAACTAGCAGATTTTGAAGACCTTGGTTTAAGGGTGGCAATGTAGAAAGTTAAACCAAGTCTTATTTAATTATTTAGTTCAGCGTCCAAAATTGGTGTGACGTCCGAGTCGTATTTAGTCTCCTTGGGCTTATGTCGGTTAAAGTGTCCGAGTCCAATTGTATTATCTTTTCCTTGATTAATTCGGTGTCCAGTGTTTTAGGGAACTAGTAATATCTATAGATATATGTACTCATGTTTGAGGAAGCGGGCCGTGGATATTTGAGGAATAAATTTGAGAGCTTGCCTCCTGAAACTTGTATTTTCCTACTCATGTACCATTAGGAAAAACTGGATGGTTACAGTAAATCATCCTCTCTTTTTATTATACTTGAGTGATGGGATTATCATCTCTATGGTTACGTAAAAACCAAATTACCTATTCCACCTACAATTTATAGTTTATGTCGGTTCTATCTTCTCAAACGCATAACCAAACCAGAAAATTTAGGCCCGACTCATTTCAACCGCTCCCCAACTTGAGCGTGGAAAATTGGGATAATTTCAGAAAATTCCCCTGAGGTTTGTCATAATATCACTCAGCTCCCCTTAATTTTTTAAAATTTCACTTACCTCCGTTGTTAACTTGACTAGACTTAATATTTCTATCAAAGATCACAAATTGACAACATTACCCTTGCTCTTAATAGCTATTTAACCAAAAATACAAAACAAAATAAAATTTTAAAAGCAAAAAATGTAAATTAAAAAAACAAATTATTAGCTAATAATGATCCATATCTCTTTACATTGGAGTCATGGTGAAATAGTAAATGACATGAATAAATTAAATCTAATCAAGATCAACCACTTAGGAGGATTTTAGAGAGTAATTAACACCTTAAAAAATTTCATGCACAGTTACAATTAAAGAAGTCAAGATATTTTTTGGCAAAATATGTTTTAATTCATGGCGTAATTTAAGTTTTATTGAAAACTAAAATAGTCTCTTCATACGCCTAAATTTGTTAAGGTGTAAATTTTGCTTTTGTTCTAATAAAACCAAAATAAATACTTTACGTCAAGAAATTTACATCTTATAAAAATTTAACCTTATTTTATTTTTTTTATTATCGTTATAAATTTCTTAAATTGGATAATATAAGAGTAGTATTGAAACAAAAGTTTTATCTTTCTTATATTTCCTCCAAAGGGGTTAAAATGTTACAAGAAATGTCAATTTAAGGGAGGTAAGTAAGATTTTAAAAATTATAGGGGAGCTGAATGATATTATTAGAAATCTCGGGGCAGGTTTCTGAAATTATCCCTTGAAAATTTGACGCTATTATTAATTATCTTCAGTTTGAGTCGGTTTGATTCGTTTGTCCGGTTCTTCGCAAGAATTACAGAGTCGTCCTTTACTCCTCCACTTACCGGATAAACCGACTAAGCACCCGGAAAGGAATAAACCACAACAAATAAGCCACAAATATCACAACAATAAACCGAACTGAGACTGAGAGTATGCAGTTGGTTCTATTAGCAAGCGATTTCTTCCCTACTCAAAGGTAAGAATTAAAGAAACCCCAAACGCCGTCGTCCAGGAGCCCTCTCCTACTTCCCACTTCCCGCTACTCCGCTTCCGCCGCCCTCTTCCTTTCCACCATCGCTGAAGAAGCTCCATGTTTGTGAGCTCTTCAGCCGCAAATATGGAATCATAATTTTTTTCCTTGGAATGATGTGCTTTTGATGATCTTAACTTTGATTAACACTTTGTAATGGTGTTAGTAATGGAGGAAGATGTTACGGTAAAGGATGAGTCTTGCAACTCCTGCTGTCAACAGGTAAAGCTCTCCTCATTTCACTGATTTTTCAAAAATATTATTGCATAATTTTCTTGAATATTCTATCATTGATGTGATATTTTTTTTCTGAATATGATGATAGTGGAAAGAGAAGTATACGAAATTAAAAGAGAAGCATTCCAAGGTTGAAGATGGACGAAATGCTCTTCGGAAAGGAATCAAACTTCTTGAGCAGGAAAATGACAAGCTAAAATCTGAATATCAAGCTCTCAAGAAAGGTACAATGTTTTCATAATTGTTGATAATTCTTTTTATAATTTATATTACTATGATTTGTTTTTCTGGTGCAAGTTCAAGAAAATTGCGGTTGCTTTTTTTTTTTTGGGTATTGTAATTTTTGATCATGATGCATAGGGTTAGTCAAGGCACAATAATTGTATTTATTTGCATTTAGGGTTGAAAGACGAACCAAAGTGCTATATCTGAGTTCGGCTTGATCATCAGGCTGTGTGAGATGGCTTCGTCAAGTAATCAAATTAAGGTCGAACTGGATTCAGTATTAGTTAAATAAGCATAAAACTTGAAGTTATAGACTTATAGGTGAATTGATCAAGCAAAAACTTGACCTTCGCTTGATAAAAGCTCAATGGGCTAAGGTTGGATTATAATAAGCCAAATTAAAATATAATTTCATAAAATTCAATTAAAAATTGAACAAACTAAATTTAGGCCTGACTTCAGCTCATTTATGCATCTAATGAAGTACTTTAAGAAATTTTCATACAAATCATGCTAATTGAATATCATCGGATTTTAATTTTGGGAGAGTAACTCATGTGTTTTAATGTCATAGTGCAAGATTTTTTTTTAGTTTTGTGATAGTGTATTTTTGGTGTGGGAATCAGGTCGTTGTTTTTTTGTGTCTGCTTATGTTTGAGTATTTTTCCATTTCAGCATTTGAGGATGAGCGGGCACGGGCAGAGAGTGAAAAGCAAGATAAAGTGTTAGAATCTGCTACACGAGTTACTTTAGAGCATGAGATTTCTACTCTGAAGTCTCAGATTCTTTTGTTGCAGGAGAATGGAGGTTTGGCAGCTAAAGGAGTGGATGAGGAGGTTGCAAATTTGCAACAACGTGTTTCAGAAGCTGAAACAGAGATAAATAAGCATAAGGAGCTTTTACAGAAGGAGAGAAAGAGAGTAGATACAGAAAAAGAGAAAGTTGAGAAGGAGAGGAAAAAAGCCAGAGATGCAGCAGAAAAATTAAATGCAGAAAAAAAGAAGGCCAGCGAAGAAAAGAGGATTGCTGATATTGAAAGGGTAAAGGTTGAGGAACTTCGACATCAGTTGGAGAGCTTAAAATGTGAAGTGGATGAAGCAAAATCAAAGTTGGCGTTGGAGACAGCAAAGCATGAACAGGAAAACAAGAAGCTCAAAGCTGAAAAAGAAAACACAACTAAGGAGAGAATGCGTGCAGACATGGAGAAGGCCAAAGCTGCAGAACAAGGTAAGCTTGCGGAGGAAAATTGGAAGAAAGCTATGGATGAGAGAAGTCGTGCTGATGCTTTGGCTTGGCAGTTGGACAAAAATAAACATAGGCTTGAAGAATTGGAGAAGCAGATATCTAATCTTGTATCTAACAGAAAGTTTGTTGACATTCCCGTTGAAAACCCACCTGGTGGACTTGCAGAACTTGCTGGTAAAGTAGGGTCCTTGACTTGGAAGAGTGAAGCTGGTGCACTAGAGGCATGTAACAAGCTTGGGGAATGGCAGCAGAAAAATGTTAGAGAAAAGAAGCAGGCAATATCTGAGATTGAGAAAGCAAAAAACCAGATGAAGGCTGCAAAAAGATACAAGAGGAAAGCCATGGAGGAAAAAAATCATGCAGATCATTTGTTTCATGAACTGGAGGGCAATAGAAAAAGGTTGGAGGAAGTGCAAAGAGAGATTCAGGAACTTGTTTCATCTGGTAAATTGTTTGAGTCATCTCATCCTGCATCTGGTAAAAGTTTGAAAGATGAAACTGCTGAAATCAAGCTGTTAAGGAAACAATTGAAGTTTGAAAAGAAGCGTGTAAAGCATGCCAAAGAAGTGGCTAAGTTGGAAGTAGGTCGCAATTGTCTACTTCAGCAAGAAGTACATCGCCTAAAGCAGGAGTTTATTCCATTTGCACAGCGCTTAGACTTACTGGACAACTGCCTCTTTCACAAATTTGATGGTATAAATAACTTGGAAAAGGTGTGTATTTCTTATTTCTCTTCTACTTGTGTCTTGGTCTTTTTTCAAGCTGAGATTTGGGATCTGTAAAAAGCAAGTTCCAAGTGGTGATTTTCAAGGCATTCCTCTGAACCAGGTAAAAGAAAATTCAAAAAAGAAAGACAAGCCTTAGTAGGCTCTCAGAAAGTTTTGATAGCATTCCAAAAATGCTGCAAAATGCACCATGCATTGAGGTGATCATTAGAATATTGGGAAGTGTTTTTTATGTTCCGAAACTGGAAAAAAAAAGAAAAGAAAGAGGAAGCAGTTTCCAGGGAAAATTAAAAACTGAAGATTGCTAGGATTTGGAAATGCAAAATATGAGAACGCTTTGTCCTTTCTAAAGTTTTAACAGAGTGCGTACATGTTTTTTGGACATTGGATGTCTAGGTGTGGGTATTTAAGTGGTGTTTGTATGTATAAGCGTTTACTTCATTTGGTGTTAACATTTTTTTCTTGAAATAGAAAAAAAAAATTTGCATAGTATATTCCACAGCATCAATCAGCAATCTCTGCTTTCCTCCCAATATAGAAAAAAAAATTTCTCCTTTGGTAAGTATTATTCTCATATTCAGTGATATTTATGTCTTTACACTTATTTTGAGCATATCTCCTAGCTCTTGAGATTTCAAATGCAAGTCTTTGCCCTATGCCCAAAAGATGGTAATTGGTCTGACTGCTTAGTCGACGAAGTGCTTGAACCTTTTAATGTGGACATCTCACGAAATGCATTTCTTATAGCCATGCAGTCTTGAAAAAATTTTGATGTGTGTGATTTGTATATCCTGCTATTACAAATATCGTGCTATTAGATACATTGTTATCATAAAGGGAAAGTTGGGAAGTATGCAGGGAGAAAATGTAAATTTTGGAAGTATGCAGAGAGAAAATGGAAAGTTTGGAACTATGCAAGGAGAAAATGTGTTGCCAGTCTATTTTATGGGTGGTGAGAAAGTTGAAGGAAGACAGTGGGATGGAGCGACTATTATTTCTTTTTTTACCAAAGTTATTAGTTGGTGAGCCTTTTTCTACTCAACTGTATACTGAACCTGTTGGGAATTGAAGACATGGGCTGCCTTACTGCATGGAGAAAAAAGTGAAAGAAATACAGAACCTACTAGGAAAAGTAATTGATGAATTGGGTAGATTTTTTTTTTTCTAGCCATCTAGACTTATTCTATACTAGAATTTTTTTAAGGATTGAATAATTTGAAGTTATTGTGCCCATTAGCTTGATGTTTCGTGTTTATATATGTCTAGTATTTCTTTCATTTCTGGATCTATGGCCATCCAAAATTTTATGTAGCCTGGCTCTATTTGCTAAAGATTATATCCTTGTTGCAGGAAGGGGGCCTAGACTTGGATCAAGAGCATCTTCACCTCAAACCATCGCAGTTGGTACTTCACACTCAGAATGAGCACGTAAAACCAAGTTGTATAACCAGCATTGCTACGGGTGGATCTACTCCACTGAAGCGAAACAAAAGATTAAATGTGTCGTTGCCTCCTGTGTCTGGAGAGATGTACTTAAGTCCCACTACAGGTATTGATTCTAATTTGGAGCTTCTGCTTAGAGGTTCCAACAGAAAAATGTTACAGAGTTCTGCCATAAATTCCAGTTCGGCATCTTTTTCTGATAGACCATTGGTCGGCTCACAGGAAAGAGGTACATTTTCTGTCACTACATCAGCTAATTTGGCACATGGACAAACTATAGGACCAACCGCTTCCAGGTTATCAAGCGATACAAGAAAAAGATATGACAAAAAACTTGCAGTGGGGGCCGAAAATAGTGTAGGAAGTCCTATTAAATCTGGTGCTATTGAGAGTGGGAGCTACAAGAAAAGGAAAAGGAAAAGGGTTTCTGATGCAGTTGAATCCATTGAAGATTTATATTCAGCAGGTCAAAAGTGGCATCAGCAGGTCTTAGAGAAATTATCTGTGCTTCATGGCATGTTGGATGGTGAATGCCCTAAATCTTTCGGAGAAAGAGTTTTGGTACAAGATAATATGTATAGCAAGTTGGTTAGACCTGATAAGAAGAAAAAAGTATCCAATGGACAAGGTGTAGCAGTACCTCATTTGTGTGACCCTTGTGTCCTGAAAACCAGTGCTGAAGATTCTGATGTTTGCGAAAATGCTTCACCAGCTGTATGCGATGTACTTCAAACTGCCCCGACTTTGAAGGACGGCATAACTAATCATTTTGGAAGCAAGCTGCATGAGCCAACGAACGCTGAAGAAGTGTTTGGTCATGATTACATGGGACTTGTTCAATTGGACAATCCTATTGATGAAAACCGATTCTGCAAAGCAATTAGAAAGCCCATTTCTCCCCTTTCTCCTGTCCTATGCAATATTGAGTTTCCATTTAATGAGACTTTTGAAACTGAAATTTGTACTTCTAGATCTCTACCGGATGAGAGTTTATGTGAAGTATTTTCAAATGCAGAGCAGAATGTTGTACCATCTTGCAATTTTGATGTGGTTAATTTGGAGATTGATTCCAATAACAGGAATTTGAAGGACATTGAGGCTTCAAAGATTTTGTCACTTGGGATGGCTACTAAAGGAAGCTCTGAAAACTTGGGTAACAATGGGAGTTACGACTCAGATGTTATATGCGTGAGCAGTTCTTCTTCCAGTCAGATCAATAACTTGATCATGGCATCAACTGCTCAGAAAAATGTTGAGTTAAAAATGCCCTGTGAAAGCAGGAGTGCTGCATTCAATGGGTATCCAGTATACTGTGCTGTTTCCTCAAGTAATAATGACAGCAGCTCCATTTCTACGATATTCAGTTTTATCACTGATTGTATGTCAAAGTTGTCGAGTAACTCTTCGTTAAAGTTATGGATGCAGAATATTCTGCTTTCTTTACAGAAGGCCGACAATCTTTCAACTCAGTAAGTGTATTTTCTAGACTCCTGGTGGTGTGGTAGGATCTTATTAAATTCAACTTGTTTAGAAGTCTTATGTTTACTAAATATTGTCTATACACAGTTTGTAACTCTTGAAGTGTAGTACTCTTACTGCAGAAGTTAATATGGCTGTGAATGCAACTGCATGGGATGTGCTTCACCTATTTCAGCAGGGATGTCTTGGGAAGTAGCATAGAGTGAGATAACTGGATAGGAGATAAAAATCATAGTCTTCACTAATGGGGCAGGCACACCCTATGTGTGTGAAAATTAGAAGAAAAAGTAATAAGAAAAAAATAATTAGCAAATATTAAAGGTTTACTTAGGTTTTGTAAATGGGAGTATTTTGTTTTCCTTTCCTTAAAAGAAAAAGAAGTTACAGGCAGTCATTGGAGGTTTCTTTTCACCAATAAATGCGAGTGTATATTTTTGTTCTTTTTTTTGAGGAAGATGTGGTACTCTTTAGCTTTTTAGTGAAGGGTAAATGAGGAAATACAGAAAATGACAAAAAACAGTTAACACCCAACCCTCTACTATCCATTTAGTATAGATAATCATTGGTATATAGATGTTATTATATGTAAAGTCATATTCGATTGCATTTCATTGGTGTAGATGTTATAATAAAGATGTTGATTGGTATTCCTGGTGTATTAAATGTTGTTACATGTGAAGTCATACTCAATTGCATTTTGAAGTTTCTTCTGCTACAAAATATAATAATTTTTGTCTCAGAAAATGGGAACTGTGGACAAGGTAATTCATACTACTGAAATATTAGGGTTGCAGGGCAGGTAAGGGTGGCAGTAGTTGGTATGTAAATGGCTTGTTGGTGGAAAGGTTCGCTAGAAGCTTGCCTTTTCAATATTTTATAATCAATTTTCTCTTGAAAAGGGTGTGATGAATCTTCATTATTCTGTTCTTCTTCATATTGTGGAATTTGCATGTATTTTCTTGGAATTGATCTGGTGGCTGTAATTATGCTTCATTTGAATTGTAAGCTTACATGCTTTTCGTCTCTTTGCTATTTCCCAGGGAACGGGTCTCAGGGTTCTTTTCGCTGTTATTGCATTACACATCTGAGATTGCAAATGGTGACCATGGCGATTTAGTGTGCAATTCTCTTGGCTTTATAGATTCTTTTGCTCAACAAATGCGAGCAGGTGTGTAATCCCTTCTTTGGATGTCCTTTTTTCTTATAATGCTTCATTGGATCCTACTTCTCAAATTGTCTGTATTTGCAGTGCTGAATGATGCCGATACTAGGAAAATGTTTCTGGAATCATGTGATTTGCATGAACTAGTGTCTCTTATTGAGGATTTCCTTATAAATAGGCAAATCTTGGTGTATGATGATGTATCCCATGGAGTGTTGCTTCAACATGATTCAAGAGCCAAGGTTGTCCTTAACGATAATTGCATTTTCTGGTCCATCCAACCAGCTTCCACTGACTTGCTGTTTGCTGGCGGATTATTATTAGCTTCGATATTTGCAGCAGTTGATGAAATTGGTTTCATTTGTGAGGTCTCTTGCAACATACTTAGCATGAGGAAGATTAATTCTCTGTTGCTGCTAAGGCTTCTCCATGTCTTTGCCTATCTCTGCAGTTCAAAATATTTTACCCTAGAAGGCTTCAGTTTAAAAATGTCTGTCCTGAAATGTTTTGTGGTGTTCCTTGAGAGGCAAGATTTGTCAGGCGGTTGCATTTCCTGCTTGCCTTCTGTTGCTGGGACATCAATGAAGATTTCAGCATGTAGTTCATGTCCATTTAAGGATGGTGTGGTTTCAGTTGATTTTATTGTATCCATTCTCCTTGGAAAACTTAAGGAACAAATGGAAGCATTGAATTCATCAAGTTGTCAATCAGTGATATTGGAAATGAAAAAGATGGATGTTCAATGCCATGGAGAGGCTATTCCATCGAATTTTGTTCCTAATGAAAACTTGATCAACTTCATTGATACGCTTTCATTGCTAGAACTTGTGGCAGTTTCTGTGGTACGTTGCTCCAATGCTTTTTGACTATTAAACATTTATCATTTAGCTGATAACTTTTGTCATATAATCTTCCTTCCTTATCTGTAAATCTTATATTCAAAATTCTTCAGGAATTACTAGGTTCTACATCTCTGAATTTTAACAAGCTTCACTTGCGCGGAAAATTTGATGTCTTTGTTGCTTGATAGCTAATATGGTTAAGAAGTTGTTTTTGCATATTCTTCTTAGAATCTGGTTGAATACACTTTGCAAACTTCTTAGGAACTTCTTCAGATGTGGTACAAGTCATTTTACCTGTGGCAGGAGCATATTCGCAGAGGGTCATCTCGAAGTTCCTCTGTAATTTGTTAGTTACTTCTGGCAGAAACTATTGATAGATTGTCCTGTCCATAGGATTAAAAAAATGATTTTGCGTGGAAGTTAAAATGATGAATTTTTAAGAATAGATATGCGTGGATTAGTTTTTTTGGAGTTTGGCTTGCCTGCAGTTTTGCCATCCTAGTACCTGCTTTAGTGGTTTTGATCCGATTACCTCGAGTAACTTCTTTGTTTCATTGTTAATTAAAAAAAATTTAACCTTTTAAGGATTTTAACCATCTTGTTACGATGATTGTTTAGATTTGGATTGTTAAGGATGCTCATTAAATTTAATGCTAATTCTTTTTCCAAATTGGCTGCCTTGTGTATGGGATGATGTGAAGCAACATTGCTGCCCAGTGGATATTTCTCAATATAGGGCATACATGTTGAGGCTCAATTTAGGACGGACTAACTGTCCATGTAGAGAACTTAAATTTTTATGAAGCGTTACCCTGCCATATTATTATGTGCTTCCAAGTTGTAATGCCAATTAAAAGTAACCGACCCAATATTTTCCCTTGCTGCAAGCTATGAGAAACACAGCATGCTTGTTACTCGTAAACTTTGAGCTACAACTGCTTCCAATCAGCTATTTTTGTCAAAATACCCTCAAGACACGCTCTTACAAGATTCTAATTCTTTTCTCCAGTGAACTTGTTTTTAAAACTCTGACATGTTCCAAATCTGGATTTGCTTTCAGAATGTAATTGTTGTTGCAAATAATTTTAGTTCAATTTTTGCATGCTACAATTTTGTATGCTGCCTAAGTTTCTGTATGTGGAACAAGGGAGTATTGCTTTTAGTGTTTCCTCGTCCATGGAGTGTTAGGTGTTTGCATCATTGCTTATGGATCTCTTCTCAAGTCATCTCAAAAAATGATCTGCCAATTTATACTAGAAGTATCTGTGCTTCTCAATAGCTTTAGCCATTCTATGAAGATGAACCTGTTTTTAGTTGGTAGTCCAGGAATGAAATTTGTGCACTTGTCAATTATGAGTACCCTCATCAGGGAACTCATGATTGAGCTGGAAATGTGGAGCACTTAATAAGTCTACTTATGCTGGTATCGTCGAATTGAATGAACTGAAAAGACTGCCAATTTTGGCTGCCTTTCTTCTTGTGAGTTAGTTTGGACCAACACCCTGATAGTTGTGTAGCTTTGTGATTTTGTTTATTTTGGGTTTAACTGGAGAAATCTATAACATCATAAACAACAAAGAAAGGTTGATTAGTTGGGAGAGAGAGGTAATTTTCTTATGTCATCTGGAGTAGTTTGAATGTTCTTAACTCTGGATATTAAACTGTATGGATATTTAGGGAAATCATGTTAAGTTATTGTAATCAATTATTTGTGACTTTTTTTTGGATAAATTATGAGGTTGATTTGGAATTAATTTGGTTCATGTTTGGTGTCAATTTAGGGAAATAATGTTAAGTTGTTGTAATGAATTATTTGTTACATTTTGGATAAATTATGAGGTTGATTTGGAATTAATTGGTTCATGTCTAGTGTCTATTTATTTGTTTGATGGTGTCCATTGAGGATGTTGTTAACTTCACACGCTCATTTATTATCCTATAATGTATCACATTTAAAGAGGCATGTAGGTGAGGAAAGTCTGCAGATATGAAAAGCAGTTATAATTTTGTATATCTTAAGTGTTTCTTTTTCTTTTAAACCAAAATGTAGTTGGTTTAAGCAGTTAGGAATGTTCTACCAAATGAGTAGAAGTATATGAGAATTTCTAAACCCGTCCATTACTGAGTTTTAAACCTGTTGTTATCTTATAATGATTTGGTGAATCTCTAAGTTTGTAAATCTTTCATTTGTTCATTTCCTTTTTTATATTTTTATTTTTAACAAGTTGATGCCTGTTTTCTCTTCCTAAGTAACCAAACACATTGTTTGATGTTAATTCTGTCTCAAAATTTTCCCCTCCACTAAAGAAGTTTTATCTCAATCTTACCCATTTATCCATCGTATACAGAGCTGGGACTGGACATTTGGCAATATTGTCTTGCCGCTTTTTCGGATGCTGGACTGTGTCCAAGAGCAGTTTTTTCCTGCCATTATAACTCTTCTGGGTCAACTTGGGAGGTAAGCCATCAACATGCAAATGTACATCATATTGCTGTAAAAATGCTTACTGTTGTATGAACTTTAGTAATATAGCAAGTTGTTAATTCAAATTTACAAAAGGAGGGAATTAAGCAACAGCAGTCTCCTGAAACTAGCATAATTTGTTGATCTTCCGGAGTTTGGATTTGTTGATGTCTTGATGATTTGCCAATTGAGAGCTTATTGTGTTCTCATCACCTTTTATGTTCAGTCGGTTTTGTATTTATTGTGTTGTAAATATCATCTCGAGTCATTTGAAGTTGTATTCCAACAAATTTTGAGTCTCCCTTCAATAGTGAAGAAGAGGTAGTGTGTAAATTTGAAGGTGAAAAACAGTTGCTGTCATTGACTTATGCGGCTTAAGAGTACATATTTAAGTGAACTTTAAAATATTTTTTAATTGGCTCGGTCTCCATGGTGGTAATGTTGTATTGTGTGCTCCAGTATTTGTGAGATTTCCTGATTGTTGCAAGGTAATGCCTTATCAGCTGAAGATGCTTAAAATGCGTTAGAAACTGGTAGAGAATATGCATGTGCTGCATTTCATCTTCAGGGCAATAAGTCAGCGTAGTTATAGCTCATTGTTTTTAGTGGTACACTGGAATTCATATCTTGCCTAGTCGTTGCCAACACTAAGACCGTTTCTGTCACATTATTGTGGGTTTCTTTTCCTTGAATTCACATGCACTTCTTGGTAGTTTCTTGGTTTAATCCATTAAATCAAATAATTTATTTGTACTATGATGCACTCAGGATTGGAGTCGATGCCAATGGATATGAGAATTCTGGAGTTGAGAGCATCAGGCAATGGTTGTCTGCTTTTCTCAGCCGCACCACATTTAAGGACTTTGGTCTTCTGATCCAGTTTGCTTCTGCATTTGCCTTACTTGATCTAATCGCTAAGTCATTTGAAGAAGTTGTTGAAGCGAATTTTGAGAGTTTTGCTACTGGTAATCAACCAGTTGCAATGGACGCTGTAAGAAAGTGGTTTTCTTCCTTGAGCAATGAGCAACAATCATCCTTTAGGTCTCTTCATTCATCTAGCAAATGCATTTCCACAAATGCAAATCAGACTATTGCAAGTGCAGCTTGATTCATGTTGGAGGGTGGATATTGCAGCTAAAATTTTGACATCTCCTCGCTCCATGTGAAGAGGCTGAAGCAGATTCTTCGACCAGTAGATATCACAGGGAGATATGTCAATTGTGTTGCAATACATCTCTATGAAGACAGTGCTAGTTGATCAATTTTGTACTCATCTCTGGGGTTTATGTTAAAGTGTACCCATAGAGGTTTAGATGCTAGGCGGCTAATACAAAGGCACACTTAGTAAATATTTGCAAAGTCAGGTGCCAACATTGTATTGAAACGTGGATAGGGAGAATCTTGCTTTATTCTTTTTCCTTCTTTTTGAAACAGTATTCAAAATATGTGAATTTCAGAACTGCATTATAAAATGAGTATTGTGACATGTTCACTTGTCTTTCTTGTGTTGATGATGATGCTAAGAAGAATACTTCTATAATGTATAATGCATTTTTTGTATTTTTTCTTCTAAATTATTATAATTGCCAAGTCTTCAATAATTCATCACATAATGATGTGAAGATCGGGTATTGATTTCCTAACCTACATCGATTAAGAGCTATTTTACCTAGGTGAAATTTGTAGCATGCCAAAATTCTGGTTGGTGCTTGGCCAGAAGTTGTTAATTTTCAATTACTCCCTTGGTTATGCAGGCGTGCGATTGTGACTTGATCGGCCGCATTCGGAAGCACGAGTGACCGTACAAGACCTTATGATTTGTCAAACTTATGTCGTGTAAGTGATGGAAATAATTTGCTCTAGGTGGGAAATGGCAATAAAACTTGGAAGCTTGGACCTTTGTTCCTCGCATGCTTGGAATGAAATTCTACGAGATTTTTGAATAGTTGAAAAGCAAGACATTTGACCATAAATTAGGAAATTGGATTTAGGATGCCAAAATTTGGTACACTAATCGTTCCACCACACATCATAAGAATATGTGTTTTCTCATTTAATATTAGCTAATCAATTAAGGTATCACAGGAGACATGCCTTACTGTATGGTTTAATAGGAAGCATAACATTGCATCTTGCATGCCTTACCACCTCAACTTCCTTGCAGAGTACAATTTTAATCGGAAGAGTGGTAGGAACGACAATGTTTTAAAATTCGGACCGGTGAACGACTCGATTGAGTTACTGGTTCCGATTTTTTTCGGTTCAATCGGTTTAACTGGCTGGGTCAATGATTCAATATTTTTATATTTATTTTTTAAAATTACAAATTCTAAAAATAATCTCTGTCACCATCAATGACCCCATCTGCAGTAGTGACATGATCTACGGTGACAAGTGTATAACATCAACATCCCAAATTTATCATCATGATTTACAAAGAATAATCACATTAAACAATTTTGCAGAAATCAGCCACTAATTGTCTTTTTCACCAAAACCAAAAAAAAAAAAAGAATTTAAGTACATAGAAATAAATTTCAGATTTTTTGAGTTGAGGAGAGGTTTCAAACTCCCCAAAACACAAACGAAGAAAATAAGAAAAGAGCGAAAAAAAACCAACATCTAATTGGGAATTGCCTTTGATCGAAGTTGGAGGTGCATCTCCTCCACCACCACATTGAACACCCCCAGATCTAGTGAGATTGGTCTTGGAAAGCAATAGTGATTGATAAAACACTTTGATCTTTGATACCTAAGCATATAGTGTAGATCTTCTTTTAAGTATCTTTTGCCGCTAATGATGATGCAACTGATCTTCTTCTTGGTCTTGTTCAAGAAGACAGAGAAAATCTTGATGTTGGATTCTACGGTCTTTGCCTTGAATGACGTGAATGAAACCAAGATGAGAGATTGAGGTTTAAAAGATGAAGATATAATGGTTGGACTAATCCTAGATGCTTTAGACTTCAATAAGATAAAGATAAGGTTGTGGAATTTGGATGATGGTGGAAGTTTGGTAACGGAGGAGTGATATTCTCAATTATGTTGGTGGACGTTTGGTGTGGAAGAGTAAATCAAGGAGCAAATGTATTCATTATTTAGTAAAGTGGGCCATATTGATAAGAAAACTTAAAATCAAACTTTTACGTTTCAACCTGGTTTTACCGGTTTAACAGTTTTTACCGGTTTTGACCGGTTCTTTAACATCCTTCGGGTTTAGCATACAACCAGACCGGCAGCATTGGCAGTTCACGGTCGAACTGGTTCGACTGTCCGGTCCGGTCCGATCTTAAAAACACTGAGGAACGGTTGCCAGTGAACCATTCCTGAATAATATAAGAATTTTTTAGCATATTGTAATTCGTTGATAACCATTTGTACATCTTGAGTACAGATGAGTTTGCACATATTAGTTGAATTAGAATTACGTGGTGTTTTCTGTATCTTACATTTTGAATTTTTATATTTTTGGTAAAATCTGATCCCAAACTTCTCTAAAGTGACAACAGTTAGGACCCCTTGTATGTTTTAACCATAGATATATTGTCAAGTCTATTTTATTCTTCCCAAACACTATCTAACATATTTATTAGACGAAAAAAATACATTAAGTATTATTCACTTCCATTAAGTAAAAGCTTGTCAAGAAATCTTTCTTCAAGTAAACGTTTTTCACAAAATTACATGTTTCATGGTTTTATTCATTGTTAAACCAATAACATATGCCTATGTAAAACATTTTACACCCAAATGCCAATATCAATTGTTTTAACATATGCCTATGTAAAACATTTTACACCTAAATGCCGATATCAATTGTTTTCAAACTAATGTGGAACGAGTTATCCCTTAGGTTCAGGGATGCATCCTCCACATTAGAATAAATTATTTAGGTTCAAATTTAGGACTATCTTCATGGTTTTATTGAGTGAGTTTCGATAGTAGATTATTTGGTATAATTCTTTGAATAATTATTTGTTGACTTTTTGAAATGTAGGGGTGAAAGATAATCGTTTGGACAACATGAATATATTCCAAATAGGTGTTTGGATAACCTGACAATTATTTAGTGCAATAGGAAACTCATTCCATCCGGTCACACACACATTTACCGTTGCAAATAAAATAAACATTCAATCATGGTAAAAGCCAGCCATAGCAATACAAACCACGCAGCTTTACGGATATTACATGGAACTTCCTAAGCTTATCTATGATTATCTACTGTCTAATGGATACACCATAGTAGAATAGTGGTTTATTCATACACAATCTAAATTTGCTTGGCAACCATTTGAGCCCTTTTTTTCAAACACAAATATAACTTAATGCCCTCGGTGAAACGCTAGGTCTGAGTTACACTCCTCACTGTCTAGCGTTTCCTCCTACATTGTGCTCCATACATTTCAGTTGCAATCGCATCCTGCCTAACCTTCCAAGCCATAATTTCAGCTCGGGATGCATTCAATGGTTGAATGTTTGCCCTCTCAATGCCACCCTCTTGGTGCTCTAATCCAACATTGCCCTCCTTGTACAATTGAAAGTGGGCGTCGCCTGGTTGGTTTAAGCGAAGAAAGTTGTTCAATGCATAGCAAGTTATAACAACACTAACTTGAGTCGTCATGTAAAAACTTGAGTTGATCCCTTTAAAAGTTTAAATCTATTCTTCAACACTCCAAAGGTTCGTTCAATGACATTTCTAAACTTCGAGTGGCACGTACTAAATAAAACATTTTTTGGACCCCCCTTCCCGTGCTGCATTCTTATACGGTGGTAAAAAACCTGGAACATTCTTATATGCAGCATCTACAAGGTAGTATTTACCTTAAATGTATATAGTTAGGTGTCAGTTCCTAATGATTGTAGAATTTTTAAGCAAAAGTTATAGTACTTTAAATGTTTTACTATAACACTTTAACTGTTTAAAGTACTTCAAAAAAATTGTACTTAAATAAGTACTTGAAAAAACTTGTGGCTTTAAAGTACTTTGAATTCTAAAACAGAAACCCATCTCGAAGCAAAAGTTATAGAACTTTAAATGTATATTGTTTGACTGTAGTACTTTAAATGTTTAAATATTTCAAAAAAATAGTACTTAAATTAGTACTGTCAAACTATATACTTTAACGTACTTTTAAGTACTTTAACCTTAATTTTTCTAAGCGTACTTTACAAAACATTTTACTTTGAGGTGGCATTGGAAAGTTCAACGAGTGTGATAGAGCATCATCCACCACTTGGGCATCATGTGCACTTTCTTTCCATCCAGCGTATATGTACGTGAATCGCATGTCAAAATCACAAACTGCCAGAAGATTTTGCTACTGAAACCCAAGTCGATTTACGTACGCCATTTAGTGACCCGAGGGCGGGCACGCAGGAATGTGAGTGCCATCGATTGCTCCCACTGCATCCTGCATTTTCCAACAATTAAAATTACATTTGCTCTCTTATAACGGCTTGTGTTCAGATAAAAGAACTTCAAACATTTGCATACTTATTTTGGTAGACACAGCCTAACCTTGAACCACGGGAAGTATTTTGTCGAATTTTCGATTCTTGGATGTACTAGATCGTAGTCAAACGGGCAAATTATTTGCGAAACAAACATACAAAGACCGTGTAGAATTTCCCTTACATTTCAGTTAATTGTCCCCGTTAATCTATTGAAACGCTCTGTCAAAACTCGGTTGCGGGCATTATGACTTACCATTACCAAAGTCATGGCCAGTGCCTCTTCGATTTTGACTCGTTTTTTTTTTATAGTTTTGAGGTACGTAATTATTGTACTTTAGTATGTCATAAAGTAGGAAGAAATCGTCAACCAAAGATTATTCGTTTGTAATAACCATTGATCAACTGTTCAACCCATTGGCACCCTGAAAATGAGCCATCATGGTGTGGAATTTTGATATTCGGTCCTCTGTACCTTTATACCTCCGGATGTAAAAGTATCAACTCTGCTACAAGTGTAACTAGCAAGTCGTCCTCCTCATTATCAGATGTTAGGTCATTGTTTGAGCTATGAATGCCACTACTGTATTCATGGCAATCTATATCCCCTGCAATAAGTACACAACAAGGGAGTTTTTTGTACAAGTTTTGAAGAAAGAAAATAAAATATCAACCAAACCTTGAACTCACCTGCTTGGTTTTCTCCTTTGATGAACTGGAGCCTTGTCCAAGAGGCAGTCCTCCTTAACTCTTTCCCCCAAAGTAGAGTAATTTCGTGCTTTGAAACATATGCAAGGACACTATAATATAGAACTGTATGGAGCAGATATTTTTTCGGAGCACGAACGCACTGTTTCTTTCTACCCGGCCCCCTGTTGATAGGGGCCATCGCCCTAGAAATGCAAGTCCCAACTTGTTTTCGCAAAGTCATCCTTCAAACATTGGATTCCATTAGTTGTTCCTTATGCCACAACTGAGCACTATCAAACTTGAGCACTGTGCCTGGTTGCAACTGATA